GGACGCTGGCGGCAAATAAGGTCCTGCGCGCCACTACGGTCGGACCAAAGACATAATTCGCCGGCCCAACGGGCCAGAGGCATGCTAAGATCTCCGGTAACTGGTTAAGAATTCTCTAGTTCGCGCGCGCGGGGCGGCCCCTGGGGGTCCCCGGACGAAAAGTACCCCGGCAAGGTCCTGAGAGAGTCCCGGGAGGAGTCCCCCAGAGCGCTCCAGGAGCGCTCCATGAGCGCACCAACAGGGCTCCGAGACGTCCCCGAGAGCCCCAAGAAAGGCCAAGAGGCCCCCAAGAGGCCCCCAAGATGGTACACGAGGGGTCCGACATGCCACAAGATCGCTCCAAGACGCCCAAGATAGCCCCCAGACGCCCCAAGAGGCCTCCCAGAGCACTCCCAAGAGGGCCCCCGGAGGCAAAATTCATTGTTTTTCCTTAGGTTTTTGAGAGATTTTGGAGCTTCCACCTTTTCGGTTCCCGACGCCCCAAGACGGCCCCAGAGGCCCCCAAGATCGCCCCAAGAGGGCCCAAGAGGCCCCCAAGAGGGCCCCAAGATGGCCCAAGAGGGCTCGAAGACGGCCCAAGAAGCCTCCAAGACGGTCCAAGAGGGCCCCAAGAACACCCCCAAAGGGGCCCCAGAGAGGGAACACGAAACAAAATTTCGCGCCCTCGGCCCTAAGAAGCCCCTACGAGGCCCCAAGAGGCCCCTAAGAGGCCCCAAGAGGCCCCCACGAGGCCCTCAGGAGGCCCCCAAGAGTCCCCCAAGCGGCCCCAGGAGGCCCCCCAAATGCCCCCCCGAGCGCCCCAGGAGTCCCCCAAGCGGCCCCAGGAACCCCCAAAGCGCCGCATTGACACCAGGCCCTCGGGCAAACGGCAGACATGAGACCGTATGGGCCGGCGGAATGAGCGAAGCGATTCAATAATATCCGTCGAGAACATGATACCCTCCGCTGGCCAATACACCCCAAACCGTAAGATCACTCGAGGGTACCCTCCCCCAGGGTGCACAAGAACATCCAACACACACGAAGACGACTAGGGCAGTCTCCCCGAGACGACCTCGACCTTATCCCTCGGTCCGACAGCACGTAAACTGAATCCCCCGAGTCCGCAAGAATCCCAGCCTCCCTCCGCTCCCCTCCTCCTGTCCTCCCGCCGCCCCTCCGCGTCGATGTCCCTGTCTCCCCCTCCCTCCTCCTGCCTGCCTCTCTCTCCCTCTCTCTGCTGCTGCTGCAGCTGCTGCTGATGCTGCTGCTCCCTCTCCTCATCCTCCTCCTCCTCCTCCTCCTCCTCCTCCTCCTCCTCCTCCTCCTCCTCCCTCCTCCTCCTCCTCCTCCTCCTACCTCCTGCTCCTCCTGCCCCTCCTGCCCCTCCTGCAACTGAATCCCCCGAGTCCGCAAGAATCCCAGCCTCCCTCCGCTCCCCTCCTGTCCTCCCGCCGCCCCTCCGCGTCGATGTCCCTGTCTCCCCCTCCCTCCTCCTGCCTGCCTCTCTCTCCCTCTCTCTGCTGCTGCGGCAGCTGCTGCTGATGCTGCTGCTGCTCCTCTCCTCCTCCTCCTCCTCCTCCTCCTCCTCCTCCTCCTCCTCCTCCTCCTCCACCTCTGCTCCTCCTGCCCTCCTGCCCCTCCTGCCCCTCCTCCACCTGATCCTGATCCTCCTCCTCCTCCTCCTCCTCCTCCTCCTCCTCATCCATCTCCTCCTCCTCGCCTCCGCCCGCCGCTGACCTGGGAGAGGGCACGGCGAGAAGGAGACAACGACCTTTACCGCGCGGGGGGGCGGCGCGGCTGCGACTGCGGCCGTCGGCGGCCGCACGGCGCAGCCCGCCGCTGATACCAACACCGGAGGCACCGCCAGCGCGAGCGGGGAGAGGAGGAGGAGGAGGAGGAGGAGGAGGAGGAGGAGGAGGAGGAGGAGGAGGTTAGATTAGAGCAGCCGCAGAGGGGACGAGACTCGCAAGTCTTACTCGGCAGGGTGCCCCTCAGAGGGGACATTTGAGACCCAGGGGCGGAGCTCCCGACGCTCCGCCAGGGGCCACGACAGGGCACCCCACCGAACTGGAACCAACACTGAACTCAAGATTCATCATCCCTCGCCTCACGAGCGGCGATGCGGGCTTTGAGCGCCGCCATTCGGCGCTCATGCTTTGGAACATCAGCACCTTCCGCCTGAAACGCCGTCGGGACCGTCGTGCGGCTGCGCACTCTGTGGCCAGGCGGCGGGGGGGGGAAGGAGGTGAGCACGGGCAGCACGAACAACAAACTGGCGCGCACGGTTGCTCGGCCCGAGTCCTTGGGCATACTTCGACAGGACCTCAACTCCTTTGCGCGAAGGGCGCTTACACTCTTCCGCGAGCTTGCGGGCACACCGCTGAGACCAACACCCACAATTCAGGCACAGAAGCTGCAACGCGGGCCTGCAGGTCCTTGGCCTGGAGGGGCTCCTGGGGTGTATCTCGTGGGAAGCCACACCTACAATCAGGTGCCCCAGAGAACGGCGGACGACACTACGAACGAAAGGAGGGGCCCCAGGACACCCCGTCACTTCGGCACTAGGGACCTGCGGGGGCACCGAAAAACAGTGCTTACACTGGGAGCCTAAGGGTCCATCTTACCACTTATGCCAAGAGGGTCCAGCCATAACAGAACGGTGCCGCGCAAACGGGCGGTCACGGCGTTGACGGCGGTTCCCACACTCGGAGAGGATGGCGGCAGCCAGCTTAACAAAACTGGAGACCTGATCATTTTCACTATCAAGTCTCGTGGCAGCCTCGGGCCCAATGGGAGCATGCAACAACAAAGCCCGCTTGGCATTGATATCAGCCTCCCAATTGCTTCGCGCTATCACGCGCTCATGAGGCGGCAATGCATCGATGACTTCAGCGCTGCGATGGGCCCTCACATGCTGGATCGCCTGGATGTGTTGAAATCCAGGCAACGACCCAGCGAACGCGGAGACACCAGCAAACAATATGTTGGGTCGGAGCTGCGCAGCTCGAGGTAGCAACGCCTGCGAGGTGGCAGCCTTACAATCAGCATGAATGTACACTGGTCGATCTGCGATCTGACATGCCACCGCTAGGGCAACATTCTCGGCCATCGCTGGGGTCTGCGGGAAGTCAGCTGGGATGACCCCTCGGAGAATCGCACATGTTTTGGGAGGCGACGGCTGAAACAGGATCACACTGTAAGAGGCTCGCTGGAAAACAGAGAGCGTAGGCATAGTGCTGCTGCCGTCAACAAGGAGGAGGAGGACGACGAGGAGGAGGAGGAGGAGGAGGAGAAAGAGGATGAGGAAGAGGAGGAAGAGGGGCAGGTGGAGGACGAGGAGGAGGAGGAAGAGGGTCAGGAGGAGGAGGGGAAGGAGGAGGAAGAGGAGGAGGAGAAGGAGGAGGAGGAGGTGGAGGAAAGGAGGCACGCACGTCTGGACAACTCTGCCCGTTGTTGCCCCCTCGTGGCGGGGGGGAGGGTGGAGGCTCGTCGGCATGGCCAGGAGAACCGCCCGGAGCTCGCGCCGGATATCGCGCCCCAGCAGTGGCTGGTGGCAGGGGGGCCGGTCTCGAATAAGGGGCCCCTGCCTGCAGGCAGCGGTCAACGCTTTCTCTTTTTCGGCGTTTCGACACTGGGCGGTGAGGGGGGGGGGGGAAGGGGGGTCTGGCACCAGACCCCTGCTTAGAGCGACTGTTTGGAACCGTGCGTCCTGTGGGGGAAAGAATCCACCTGCTTGACCAGGCGCCAAAAACAGCCAGGATCTACTCCATAGGGGGGGGTGAGGGGGGAGTGCGAGAGCCCTCGCCGATCCGCAAAACAATGAATAAGGAAACGATCACGAGCGCGACGCAGCTTCTCGATTTATTTCTTGCTTCACGCTGTGCTGCTTCTGTCGGCCCCGCGGTGCAGAACTAGAAGAATCCTCTGGCGCTGCGACGGGCAGTGTAATTTCGGGGCGCCCCTGTAAGGCCCTTGGGCCCCTCATGGGCGCTCCTGCGTCGCTCTGAGGACACTACTGGGCGGCTTCTGGGACACCCGAAGAACGCCACCAGGAAGAGCGGGAAGAGAGGGGAACAGGAAGGGGGAGGATGACAAGGGGGGAGGAGGGGGGAGGAACACGAAGGGGAGGGTGACAAGGGGGAGGAGGGGGCATGGACCTGCATATCCAGCGTCGGGGGGTCTGGGCCCCCTCCCCTGGGGTCAACCGCGGTCATCTTCCGGGTCGTTGTCTAACATCCCTGGGGCCTGGCACCAGCCCCAGGATATGGGCGCCCGACGTGAGTAGCGACAAAAGGGGCAAGTTGCCCAACCACAAGTGAGATGACATAGCGACCTTACGCCGCGGCTTACGTGGGCCGCCAGCGCGGCACGCCACATTGGAGACGAGGGCGCTAACGCGCGACCTTACGCGGGCAGCTTACGCACCAATGTCGGCGCAGACGGCCCTGTTTTTTTGCGTCGCTCAAGTTTTGTCCACAACCGACAGCGGCGGCTGTTGGGCAGGCGAATGCGTGACGCCCACAATGAATCCCTTTCAGCATGTGCAAGGAATGCCGTGGTGCGTTGTACCCCTCGTTCTCGTTTCAGTCATCCCAGCTAGAGGCCCAGAACTCAGGCGGGTGGTTTTGTGGAGTAGCCTGAGTGGGGGGGTGAAGAAAGGGGTCCTCAACGGGGCCCTTCAGGGCCCCCCTTTGGAGCCAGCAGGGGCCAAGCAGTGGCCCTGAGGGTCCTTTGGGGTTGTGTTGCCCCCATCGTACTCAAGGACCACCTCCCACAAATAATCTCAAGCACCCAGAAAAGTATCGAAACGGTGTCGAACGAGTATCGCCTCCCAGGGCCCGACACGTGAACACCCTCAAGTATCGGTATCTTCTTGGTGCTCGACATTCTTTCTGGTGGTCAAGGCTGAAGTAGGTTGGAACATCGCAACTTACCCGCCCAGAGAACGGCAAAAAATCGTCCGCCCCCCAAGATCCGCGTGCCGAGCCACGCGGGGTGCCGCGCGGCGCGGCGGCCCCTCACAGGAACTTCCGGCTGGCCAGCCACTCCTCGGATGGGGCGGGGCGGCACGGCGGAGACAGCACCGGGAGGGCCCTCCCTGGCCCTCGCGCTTCCAGTGCGACTCGGGGACAGGTGTCCATATCCGCCGCCGGGGAGAAGCGACGCCCTGGGGCCCCAGCGCGCGGCGGAGAGGAGCGGCTGTGCGGGTATCCTTGGGCCCCAGGGGGCCCACACAGATACACGGCCACCGCCCCCCCCGGCTGCTGGGGGGAGGCCGAGGGGGGGAGGAGGATCGAGCCGTGGAGGGGGTGAGCTGTGGTCGGACGCGTCCTGTGCTGCCTTGCCTGCTGCCCGTGCCGGCCTCTGCTCACACAGGGGGCCGAGGAGGCCTCGCGCCGGCTGCACGGGCCCGCTCGCGCTCGGGCTGCCCGACGACTCGGGCCCTCGATTGCCGTAGGGAGGGGGAAAGAAGGGAGCTGACATAATGCTTCAGATGTCCTTCCACAGGAGGAATACTCTCAGGAGGGAAAACAATCACACAGTCACGATGAATCGTCGATCCCCAAAGAACATATGGGAAAATATGGGAAGTGGGGGGAGCAACCGTCGTCGACACTCAGATGCCGCCACGTCCCGACGGCCAGGTTATCCGAATCTTGACACGGCTGGGGAGGCGCGGCACAAACAAGGAGGAGCATACTAAGAAAGAGAGGGAAACGACAAGAGCGTGGCATGTGCATCCCCGATGGCACTGCCAGCCGTTCCAATAAATACACAAAGGACGCAACGGAGGAGAAGACGTAATGGATTAGACCCTGGGTCGAAACAGGCTGTGAACGTAAATTTCCGACACGAGGAGTGGAAAAAAGGAAGTGCATTTCACGTGGATTCTGTGTAGTCTTCATTCCAAACCAAACAACATCCGCGCGAAATTCTCTCAGAAATCAGAACCGAAACTCTACAGACCAATCCGGCCCCATTCCTCTCTTCTTTTCCGAACGGAGTCCGCTCTGCGATGTTGGCGCCATGCCGCCTCTCCGTCCCCTCGAAACGAATGCAACATCGGGACACTACAGAGAGAAACCAAGCACAACCGTGCACTTCTGGAGGTCCGCGGGGGTGTCTTGCATCGGCTTCCGACACCCTCCCTCCTGGCGCGCGGAATGCGTCCAAGGCGGGTGCCCGAAGCGCCGCCAGGGGGGGCCGGGCGCCAGACCAAGGCACCCGCGCGGAGCTTCCAGAAATCGTGATGCTGGAAATATGTCGCGTTAGTCTTTGGAGATGTAAGTACGCGGATATATCGCGCTGGTCTTGGAAACATGTCGCGTTGGTCGCGAACATATTGCACTCATAACGTGTAGCAAGGACGGGTGGTGAGGACGCGACAGGTGAAAACGGCAAAGGACGGGCCGCAGGGGCAAGGACACTAGGGCACCCTGGGTGAAGGCGCGCATCCTCACTGGGCGCGTTGACTGTAGGATGCATCGGGAACCTCTGAGATCCGGCGGTCCTGCGATATATATATATATATATATATATATATATATATATATATGGCGCCACGGCCCTCTGAAGGCGTTCTGGAGCGTTCTGAGAACGCTCCCCATTCAGAACACGATGTTGAGAATCCGGAGGGCAACACGTGGAAAGTTGGCGAAGTTCGATTGCCCTCAGGCCGCGTGCTGGCGCCAATGCTAGGCAGCAACTCCCCGGTGGTCTTGGACGATTGAGCGCACTTGAGCCCGATTGTCGGGTTCTGGGGCCAGAGAAGCACACAAAACAAGCTCCGAGCGCTATAAAGCCCGATTGTCGGGCTCTGAGCGCTATAAAGCCGAATTAGACGAAAACAACAAAAAACTGGCTCATGACCCATCAGGCCGTCTTCCGCCCACGACATGCCAGCGCCGATTCTGCCTCCAACCTTCCAGAAGCTGCATCCCCAGGGGGGGCTAGTCGGGGATGGACAGACCCCCCTTTAGTAAAACGTGGCTTAGTGAAAACGACCCGAGGCCCAAACCTGGCGGGCGCAAGCCTGGGAAATAACGGCCACGGCGCCCTCTCGAAAACCGAAAACGGACAGTTCACTAATCGACGTGTCACTGTTAGGGGTTCTGTCCACCCCTGGGCTAGAAAAGCTGAGCTCTAGCGAGCCTCGAGCATTCCCCCCGGAGCGCGCGCCAGCGCCGGCGTAGGGCCCGCGGTCAGGCGGCGCGCAGACCGTGGGGCTGCGCGCGGAGAGCAACGCGCACGTGGCGGCACGCCCGAGGTGGGTACGGAACAACGGGCACGATGTTGGGCGCCCGAGTCATCCGGGGCAACTCGGGTCCGGGGTAACTCGGGTTCGGATTCCCGAAAAAGGAACCCGAGTGACCCCTGACCCGAATTACCCCTGACGATGTGGGGCTCTGACGATGCCCGAGTCATCCGGGGTAACTCGGGTCCGGGGTAACTCGGGTTCGGATTCCCGCAAAAGGAACCCGAGTTACCCCTGACCCGAGCTACCCCTGATGGTTCGGGGCTCCGACGATGCCCAACAGCCAGTGCCATCCAGAGCCCACAGCGATCACTGTTGGGCAGGCTTTGGAGGGACCTGGGAGAGAGCCTCCGCCAGCCAAGCTGCAGAACATCGCAAAACGCAGCCCGGTCGAGGATGCGGTCGGGTGGAAATACATACTCTAGATTTCGTAATAGGAGGGAGGGGGTCTGGACCCTCCATAAGGAACCTCTGAGATCCGGCGGCTCTGGAGGTGGCCTCGGCCGCCGCGGCCTCCTCGGAGCATTCCAGGTGCGAGCCTCTTCCGGAAGGCTGCGGAACGGCTGTATCCTCGTCCTGGCCCCGTCTGGAGGCGGAGGAAGGAGGAGGAGGAGGAGGAAGGAGGATAAGGAAGGAGGAGGAGGAGGAGGAAGGAGGAGGAGGACGATGAGGAGGAGGAGGAGGAGGAGGAGGAGGAGGAGGAGGAGGAGGAGGAGAGCAGGAGGAGGAGGAGGAGGAGGAGGAGGAGGAGCAGGGGGGTTACGAGGAGGGGGAGGAGGAGGAGGGAGGAGGAGGGAGGAGGAGGGAGGAGGAGGGAGCAGGGGGAGGAGGGGGAGGAGGAGGAGAACTCGTCGGCGCAAACGACCCGGTCCTTCCACCCCGCCGCGACCTCCCAGGGCATGCTCGGGTAGGGCGCGATGGCCGGGTGCCTCCGCGGCGGGCCGCGGTCCGCCTCTCTGGCTCGCCCTTGCGAGGTCCTTCCCTCGACTCTCCTTCGGCTCTGCGCCGGCACTGCCTTCGGTGGCAAGTCATGAGAGCCTTTCGGGTCGGGCGAAAGGGGGGGATAGCAAATGAGGGGGTTGAGAATCAGCTCACGTAGCTGATTTTCCCGGCGCCTCCCGGCGCCAGAGGCGGCTCTGTATCGAGGAATGGGCCCCTCGGTGAGGCCGAAACCAGCTGCATGCAGCAAATTCCGTAATCCCCCCCTTTCGCCCGGCCCGAGCCTTCCGTGCCATCCTGCTGGCTCTGACGAGTCGACGCTGACCGATGCGGCTCGACACGAATCGACGCGAACCGACGCCAGGCTGATGCCAGTCGACGTTGAGTCGGCCGTGTTCTCCTCGATATCCAAACGCTCGCGCACGGCACTGCGCTTGAACATCGAATGCGGGGATCAACACAAAGTCCCCAGGATTTGCTACCCAAGCCGCCGAAGGTCACCCGCATCTCGAAACCCTCTTCCCCTGACGCCCCCACGTCGCGAAACAATCACAGCGAATGTTTCGTGGCCGCGGGGGCCCTTCTTGGGCCCCCGGCGGGGGGGTCCAAAACCACTTCGGGATGAGACGCGGGCCCCTGGGAGGGGCAACGGCCCTTTGGGGGGCCACGCTGCGACAAAAATCGCGACGTCGGACACCCAAATCCTCCGCGCCAACCGGATGAAACGGGTGGGGAAAGGCCGGAAGAAGAAAGGGGGGGGAAATGGAAATAGGGACGGGAGGGCAGGATGGTGGGGGGGATGTGGGCGTGGATGGGGGGCGGGGGGGAGAATGCGAATTCGGCCGCCCGCCGGCCGATTTTCCTAATTGACGTGACAGGAGAGGACAAAGAGAAGGAAAACGAGGAGGAGGAGGAGGAGGAGAGACGGGAAGAGGAGGAAGAGGAGGACGAGGAGGGAGGAGGAGAAAAAGGAGGAGACCCATCACATGCAACATTGTGGCGCGAAGCACGGGGATCAGCGTTTGCAGCCTCGTGAGCAAAGAAACAATTAACACATCGCGTTGCTATTGTCGTCGCGGCTGCTTCAACAAGCGGTCCCGATTTTAACAACGCGCTCGGGGGAAACAGCGGGTGTGGCTTACTTGAAGGGCAAATGTGTCACCGCACATTGCGTCTTGAGGAATCACGGCGCCCTGAAAGGACGACCGGGGGGGCATTCGTAGCGTTTGTTGTTCGAGCGCGATTGCCGGTGCCGGGCGAACGAAGTGTTCCTTCGCCTCGTCTACGGGGCGGCGCGCAAGCGCTTCCCGCGGAAAATGGCGGGGATGGGAACTGCGCGAAGCTGATGGCGCAATCGGGCGCCAGGGGAAGAACACGAATAACATTCTCCCGCGCAGTGGGGACGCGAAGTGTACGCGTTGCGAATGAGAGACGACGCGTTGTGGGAAATCGCCGAATCAAGCGCCACAGGGCGGGCACTGTCATAACCGCGGTATGTTGCTGACGCGCGGTGGGGAATTCAACGCGGTTGCCACTGCAGCGCGGCGCGCGCCGCTGTCTCCCGAACAACGGTTCTGGGCCGACATTGCTATGAAAACCGCCGCCATCAATCTAGGGCGGCCCGCGGCCGCCAAGATTGCGAGATTCCCGCCAGCCCTCTGGGCGACAGGCGGTCTAACGAGATCTTTCGTTCCTCTTCCAAAACCCTGTCTGCATTCATACATCCCCTGCCCCAGGCGACGGGCAACCAACCAGGAACAATGACGACACCATGCTCCCCCCCTACCATCCCCGTCAAAAAACAGTACAACACGCACTCTGGCCCCACATCCGGAGCATGCGCAACCAACCCGATGTGGCTGAAACGTGTTCGTAAAGCCCGCGAGCAGTTTCTAGGTTTTCTGACAAGGACGGTGGGTGTGTCAGCATATGGTTTGCTGCGAGCGAGCCGCCATTCCCGATCAACAACAACAAAATGCACCTCGCGGATAAATCTGGATCATGCGCAACCGCCCCGCGATCTCTGCGAACCGTTGCCTTTGACAGGGACAGCGGGGGTGGTGGCGTATGGTCTGCTGTGCGCAAGACCACCAGGCACAATGATGGGCATTGGCTTTCGGATAGGATGGTGCGGGCCGACATGTCTCCCGATATGTGCTGTCACGTGCGCAGGTGCACCTGACACATCCTGCACGTGCCCCGAACGTGGCGCGCCTGGCGCGGCTGGAGTCAGCAGCGCACCTGGCGCGCGTGGGGCACGTGGCGCCTCTGGCGCGCCAGACGTGCCGGGGACGCTCGGGCTCTGGCGTCGCGCACAGGGGGTCGGTCTCGGCTCCAAGTACCTTCCCGTCCATACCAGCGCTGAGCATGATGAGGCTCGGGTTTGGACGCCCGAAATGGGCACGGAAAGAACGGGTACAATGCCCAACAACAAATGATGTCCCGAACCAACAGCGGCCGCTGTTGGGCAGGCGGCCCTCTGTCTCAAATGTACACAGGCCGCGGCGACACCGACAGCGAGTCCTGTTCAAAATGAACAAGAACTGCTGTTGGGCATTGTACCCATCCTTTCCGTACCCATGTCGGGCGCCCAAATCGGGTGTTACTTATGTGTTTTGGGGGCGGGTGGGAGTGAGCCAGACGGCTCGTTATCTAGGAGGGTGTCTTGACCCCTCCCCGTACCCCATCCCATGGATCTGGACAGAGGGGGTCGAGGGCCATTCGAGGGTCGGTCGGTCCTTTGTCACCCAAACTGGCTCCAAGAGGGCCCCAGAGCCAATGATGCCCTCCAAGAGCGTTCAAGATACGCCAACATCGCTCAAACGATCTAGCAACATGCCCCCAAAAGGCCCCGCAAAAAGGCTACACGACGGACCAACGTGCTTTTGGGAAACCCGTTAAAGACCTCCCCGGGAAGTCACAACCCTTCAAACACCTGATGACCGCCTGTGGGTTTGGCTTTGTCACTCTTTCGTTCCTGATGCGATTTTGAAGCCCGAAGACGGCCCCGAGGTGGCCCGACTGACCTCCTAGAGGGGCGCAACAAAAAAACCTCCAGGAAGACCCCAGGACCTATCAGAAGCGCCCCTGGAGGAGACCAAACGCGTCCCAAGATCATACGTTGATGGCCCAGAACGGGGGACTAAACGTTAGGACCCCCCCCTTCGTTTCACCGACGCCTTCCACGACAGCCCCAATCTGCCCTCCAAGGCTTCCAACAGGCCCCCACCAGAGCCCGAACGGGGCCACAGGAGGGGTCCCGAGAGGGCCCCTAGAGACTTCGAAAGAGCTCCCCCAAAGACCCTGATACCACCCGAAGAGCCCCCTAAATGCACCAAGCGAACCCGCAGAAGGACCCCCAAACGACCCCCAAAGCCCCATAACTCCAAGAAGGTCTGCGATGCTCCAAGATCGCCTCCAACATGGTTCCACATGTTCCCCCCCCTCCTCTCGTTGACCAGTCCGTTTCACCATATGCGCCCCTGCTGCCCATTCCCCGCCTGGTTTCGTGGGCAGGGCTTCTGATGGGCTGGCGGGGACTCGCGGGGCGTAAGAAATCGGTTTTGAGCGAGCCTTGACGCGAAAGGGGAAAGAGGGGAATGAGGGGGGGGAAGGCGGAGAAACAATTAGAAAGAGGGGCGGGGAATGGAGGGGGAAGGGAAGAGAACGGTGGTAGGGGCGAGAGGGGGGGTGAAGGGAGGCTAGAGGGTCAGAGGGGACACGCGGAAGTGGAAACACAAATGAAGGAGGCAAGACGCGGCCGTGCCTGCCTACCTCGCGGCTTGAGCATCTCCTGCGAATTGAACCAATCGCGCGGCTGAAACCAGAACGGTTATGGATTGCACGCTGATTGGGCCACGGTGGTGCTCACAGGGGGTGATGGTGTACACTGAGAATCGGGGTGGTGCACACTGGGGTGGTGCACGCTGGGGACGCCCACCAAATGGTGCACACGTTTGGCGCTCGCTGGGGATACCTGTCTTGACGCATGTGGTGCACACTGGGAACCGCACGTGCAAAATCACGCACGCACAAACACCCACGGCTCACCACTTGGCGCCCCTGTGAAATAAGGATGTAGACGTGGACTCCATACCGTCGGTGTGGGCACCCCCCACGCTGTGCACCACGAGGACGCCTCCAGGACGAAACCTGACGGTGGCCGGGCAGCAGGCAGGGCAGCGGAGCAAACTGTTGGAACCCCGGGCACGGGCGCGAGGGCGCAGAGAGTCGGGAACGGGAGGGGGCGGGGGAGAGAAAAAAGACTGCGAGGGAGGGGGAGGAACGAAGGGGCAGAGAGCGGAGGCGAGGGGGGCGAGGAGGGGCGAGGGGGGGGGGAGGAGAGGGGAGCGAGAGGGACGGGAAGGAAGGAAGGGGGCACGGGAGGGAGGGGGCGCCGAGCAGGGGAGGGACGATTGGGGGGCGAAGGGGCGGGAAGTGGTGAAAGGGAGAAGATCTCAGCCCCCGCGCACCGTGCCGAGCAGGCCTGGGCCACGCACTCGGCAGCCACGCGCTCGGCAGAACCACGGCCGTTGCGGGCCCGACCCTCCAACGGACGGCACCCGACCCAGCTCCAGCAAACAAAACCGAGGGATACTGGAAACCATCGCTACTCTGGGCCACTCCTGTGCACTGCGAGTCCTGGCTAAGTGTGCGGAGGCCACGGCATGGCACGGCGGAAGTGTCGCGGTCTGCAGAACAAGCCCGACACAGCAACGCACAGTCATGCCTCGGAGGGCCCATGTTCGCGTGCAGACCCCGCGCGGCGCGGCACGGTAAGGCACAGTTGTTCCACTATGAAGAGCAAGTGCGTCACGACACGGCGGGGAAGATGTTTGGCATTCTGAGAACCACGCGCGGCACGACACGGCACGGCACATCGGGGCTGTCGATGACAATCACCGCCGCGAAGCAAGAGAATAGGCAACCGCGCACAAGCCAGCTTCCGCATGAAAAAAACAAAAGACGCACCAACAAAGAAACGATGACCATCTGGGCAGGCAAGAGATAGAACAATGAGCCTTGAGTGAGTCTGCCTTTGGCTTCGTAGCGAGCTACTGGCGGCTCAAGATCTATATAAGCCCGCAACAGACCCTCGGGCAAACTCGAAAACCAGAAGAGAAAACTCGGAACTCGGAACTGGAAAATCCGCGAAACGACGCCACAGGGCACCGAACGCCGTGTGTGTGTGTGTGTGTGTGTGCGCTACGCTGAAGACGCCATGCAGACCGAAGCCGCCCACGTAGAGTGGGCCGTTTGCGAGGAGGAGCAACGACAAGTTGTGGGCATAAGAAGCCTGCAGCGAAGACATGTGACATCCTCGCCTGGACTGCACCCGCGACAAGTGTTCACACCTCGTCCCCCTCACAGAGGCGAGACACACAGGGGAGTAGGCACAGGGTGGGGCAGCGGGGGTGGAACGCGCGTGCCACAACGCCCGCCGCGCGCGTGGGCGAGGCCGCGGTGGCCTGCTGCCCTCCCTCCCCCCTCCGCCCCGCGACCCTCGCGGCACGCCGCGGCACGGGCCGGCCTCACGTAGTAGTCGCCCTGGGTCCAGCCGACGCCTGGCGGGCAGGCCGACCGGAATGAGCATCGTTCAACCTGGCCTGGGCCCCACTGGCCGAGGTACCCCGTAGATGGGGATATGAGCCGCTTCCTCGGGATGTGGGGTCGCTTCGACGATACTGAAGAAACGTGGGGGGCGTCAACGATTCTGTAACGCCCTCGCCCGTCCTGGGTCCCCCTTCTCACTTGCTGCTGCAGGCATGCTGTCCCTCCAGACAGAGGGGGGAGGAGGCGGGGGAGAGGGAGGAGGAGGCGAGGGAGGAGGGGGGGGGGAACCTGTGTGAGGCAAGCAGCGTGGCGCAAGTGGGAACAACAAGGTGCAATCTCTGTCGAGAGATCGCTGCGGTGCGTACGCTGTGGCCACGAGGCGGCCGCGGCCAACAGCGGGGAGCAATCCGGGAGCCCCCTGCCAGCGCTCAAAAGGCGGCCACGAGGCGGCCGCGCGCGCGGCCGCCCCCGAGCGACAAAACACTCAACCCGGCACCCCGGCGCACCGAGGCGGCCACGGGGCGGCCACGGGCGGCCACGGCGCGAGAGCCCGACGCCCACTGCGACCGCACACGCGGCACCGAGGCGGCCACCGCGCGCAGAGCCGGACTCCGATGCCGAGGGCTCGAGAAGTCGGGTCAAGTTGCAGCACCTCCGAGCAAGCTCTGCCTGGGCGATGCCAAGTTCCCCCCCCCTCCAGTGGGCGTCAGGAGCTGCGCGCAACGATTCTACTCACGTCCGCCCTGGGCCCAAGGTCGGTGCGTGGGCGCATGTCGCATGCACCGATGCTGGGCCCAGTGCGGGCCTGGCCACAAACGGAGTGCGTGCACGATGAGAGCAAGGAAAAACGGCATGAACATGAAACTTTCGGCGCTCCGCGCGGACTTCTTGGATCTGCCCTGACCCCCCTCCCTGGCGCGCGGAGCGCGCCAGGGAGGACCAGCGCGGATCCCAGCGCGGATCCAAGAAATCCACGCGGAGCGCCCAAAGTTTACGTTTATGCGTTTTCTTCTTCGAATAGTGTTCCTTTGTCTGCCCCCCTCTCCGCTTCCCCTCGCCTCCCCAGCGGGCAGGGCCCGGCGACAACCGCGACGGCGCGCGCGCAGACGACGACGGCGATGATGACGATGACGTACTCACGCACGCGGATCGCACCGTGGCGCACGGCCGAGCACGTGGCAGGAACATCTGCCGAGAGATAGCCTGCGGCAGGCCACAGCGGCAAGACTGGCCCAGAGATGGAGAGAAAGAGAGAGAGAGAGAACTCCAAACCGGGAGCGAGAGCAGATGACGACGACGACGACGACGACGACGACGACGACGACGACGACGACGACGACGACTCTGGGGGGAAAACACATACAGATACCCGATGCCACTACTCCTCAGACCTCTCCTGGGTTGCGCTCTGACCCGGATTTCAGGGCGAACATCCAGCCGTGGCGACGTCGGGAGGGCGGCGCTGTCGGTACTCCAGATTTCGTAATAAAGGGAGGGGGGGCTCATTTCGGGGGGGGGGGGGGGGTCTCTTCCAGGCTATCTTGGAGGGGAGGGCCTGGGGGGTCTGGGGACGATGTTTTGGAGGGTTCTCCCACGGGGGAGGTCTGGAATGGCCTGTCTTGGAGGGTCCAGACCCCCCCCCTTTTATCACGAAGTCTGGAGTACATATCATGCCCCTCCTCCGCATCTGAGCGACGATCAGAGACGGGCCTTGCGCGCGACGACACAGCGACCTCACGCGGTGGCCTCTGAGGACTGCCGGCGCGGCACGCCACATGGGAGACGGGGGCGCTGGCGCGTGGCCTCACGCGGCGAGCCTGCGCTCAAGTCGGGCCTGTCCCCCTGCAGGGGGATGTTCGACGAAAATCAAAAATACGCTAAAAGTAACTCCAAATTAGTCCAACAATAGTCTGGGAACTATGTTTGAGTATGTTTGCACAGTTTTGGTGCATTTGCGAGGTATTGTTACGTTTCGTCGAAAATCCCCTTGTAGGGGGACGGGCCCGACCTAAGCCTACGCGCGAATGTCGGCGCAGACGACCATGTTCTTGCCGCGCCCTCATCTGACGACGACGACATTGGCGACGGTGGCGGGGCTGCACCAGCTCCGAAGCCGAAGCCAGCGCCCCCGCAGAGGGCGCGCATGGCGGCGCCCCTCGGGTCGGACGGAGGGGGGCAACCGCGGCTCCAGCGCCGCGGACGCCGTCGCCGCTGCTGTCGAAGACGCCGCGGCAGCCGTGGTGGTGACTTCGTCGTCGCCACCGCCGCCAGGGTCGCCGCCGTCGTCGCCGCGATGGTCTTCGACGTCGTGGGCGTCGCCTCTGGTGTAGGTCACGGACGTCGCTGCCGCAGACGCAGAGCTGTGGGCCCCTCGAAAAATGAAGAAGCTGCCGACCCGCTCTCCCCGCCACCTCGACACCGACCCCTGGGCATCTGCCCGTGCACTGTAAAGGTCGAGCATGTCTTCCTACGGGCGGATCGCCGCAGAGAAAGCAGAACACAGCCAAGAAGTACGCAACCATAGCCACGAGAGCGCGAAACACCGCCCACAGACAACCCCTGGGCATCTGCCCGTGCACTAAAGGTCGAGCATGCCTTCCTACGGGCGGATCGCCGCAGAGAAAGCAGAACACAGTCAAGAAGTACGCAACCATAGCTTAGCCACGAGAGCACGAAACACCGCCCACGGACAACCTCTGCACATCGGCCCCGCGCACTCCTCCGGCAGCAGGACCTGCCCGACCTCACCGCGCGCGCCCCCGGCAGAAAAACCCGCGGGCGGGCCCGGCCGGGGCGGCGAGGGCGCGCCCCCAAACGGCCCCAGGGGGAGGGGGGGGGGGGGGCGACCGCCCCGAAGCCCCACAGGGGGCCCCCGGAGGCCTCCCAGAGCCAGGCCCGCAGGGGCCTCCGGGGCCCCACGGGGGGCCACGGGCGTCCCCCCAAAAGCCACTCGGTGCTCGCTCTTCGGGGGGGGGGGGGGCGAGGGAGGGGGCATTCAGTGACGTCACCTGGGGCGCTCCCCCCCGCCCCCCCCGCGAGGGGCATGGGGACGTACCGCTGAGGCGTTCTGCGGTGCGCGGCGTGATGCTGCAAGACGGCCCCCGCGGACCCCGCCAACCAACACCACCGTCGACCGAGAGACACTGGCAGCGGGCCTGGCTCGGGTGGAACTCTGGCCTGGAAGCGGCACGGCACGCACAGGCGCTGGGCGCTGCAACCATCTCGTTTGGGCTCTGGAGGCCATCGCATCACATCACATCACGTCTGACGACGTGATCCTTTCCGCAGCCTGGCTCCCCAGAGGTCTGGAGCCCTTTCTTGGGGACCGCCACTTCATCCCGAGCCATTCTTTGACTGTCCCAGGGCCCGAAGGCACCCGGAGGCCGAAAACGGAAGGCAATAACACAAATCGCGTGCTCCCTGATTGAAGGGGCCCACAACACACATAAATACACATCACTCCCAGGATCCCCCATATTTGTCACATAATTCCTGGGTTTGTGTCTTCCCCCCACTTCCCATATTGTGGCATATTTTTCTGGGAATCGACGATTAATTGTGTCTGTTGTTTTCCCTCCTGACTAATCGCGTTTCGCTACAGGGTCTCTAAAAAATGAAAACCCGCTGAAAAGTCTCACATGGACGACGGGGTGCCCGAGAACGCTGCTGCGGGCAGCCGTTTCGCCTGAGACGCCCTCACACATTACTCAAGAATCGCATTCTCGCATCAATGCCGGCTATATCTTTGGCCGAGACGGCCACAATCCATTCTTAAAAAACACGTGGGTGCACATGGCCGTGCTCTCACCACTGTGAAGCCCAGGCATCCCGATCCGGCCGAACACGATCCTTTGTATAAAAAATGCACCACGGTGCCCATGGCTATCCTCTCTCATCCTTGCTACGCCTAGGAACCCGTAAAAATACATGGGAATGCAAGTGTTCCCTAGCCGACCTCGTAATCCTCGACCTGCCTCTTAACCTTTTGCTGCTATAAAAAATGGATCCCCGACGGCCGTCGATCCCCGCGGACGGCCACCACCTGCAACCCGTGCGAGAAGGGAGTTTGTCCATACGACCCTCCTCGGGGATCGATCCTCGGAGCCTCGGCTGGCGGTGGATATGCGAGTAGGGGATCGACTACAAATTGATGTACCCCAAACTTGATTGTCTTGTCAGATCTACAAAGAAGCCAAGGACAATGTTCGTAGATCTACGAACGTTCTTTGTTTTTTCCGTGGGTACGACAAACAAATCAATTATGGGGTGAATTAATTCTATAGTCGATCTTGGCCATATCCGTACACACCGTCTGCCCGTCCCCGCGTTACACACAGGGCTCCTCGACAACCGCCCGCCTGCCTTGTTCGAGGCGCGGCTTCAGGGAGAGTTACCGACTCTTTGCCCGAGAGCCCGAGAGGCACACTTCCTGGGGTCCGACAACCCCGTGCGGTGACAGACCGCGCGGTGACCTCAGCATCCCTCGAAACCTCACCAAACGGTCCGTCGCCGCACGGCGCTGGGGCCCTGGAGGCCCCAGAGTCGCCCGAGACGACCTCGGAGAACGAACCACGTCCCGCAGCTGTGCGGTAACCCCGCGTCCCCAATCCCTCGCCACAGTATTGAAGGGGCCCAGGGACACACAAATAGATAGACACAGATAACAGGATGTCCCGTATTTTCCAATAGTTTCGGGGTTTTCGTTTCCCCCCCCCACTTCCCATATTTTCCCATGCTTTCCTGGGAGTCGGCGATTCATTGTGTAGGTGTGTTTCTTTCCCTCCTTAACTCTGTGGTCACCGCACCGATTGAAGGGCCCCAAGTAGTTCGTCCCGGGTCCATACTCATGGTCACAGGCCTGGCAACGGGCCCCAGTCCCCAAATCAGATAGAGAAGCCCCTGGACTGGGATAGAAAAACACGTCGGAGATTGGGGTTCCCCCCCACCCTGAGCCAATCCCCCACGATTGTCCCCCCCGGAATCAGGGTTCCCCTCCCCCCTCAGTCGAGGCGCCCTGATTGAACAAGGAACATCCCGTCGGAGATCGGCGCCCAGTGGGCCACCCTCTTCTGCCGGAGGCCTCCCAAAAGGGGTCCGAGTAGATGGGATCGGAGCATCGCGCGCGCATCGCCGATGCACCACCGCTGCGGCGACGACGTCCGTCGGCGATGCTTCGGTGGCGTCGGCGTGGAGGAGATCGGGCGCCGCGTCGAACGGCATCGCCGATGCTCCGGCGATGCGGCGCGCTCCTCCGACCCCAGCTGGCTCGGACCCCCACTCCCCGAGATCCGACCCTGCGGCAAAAACTGCAGCAGTGCAGCAAGTCTCGACCCGAGCTCCGGCCTTCTGTCGGGCGTGTCCCCCCACAGGGGAGTTTTCGACGAAAAATAAAGATACCACAAACATGCCCCAAAAAGATCAGAAAATGCTCCAAAAATAATACCCAGACTATCTTTGGATTATTTGTATGATATTTTTTGATTTTTCGTCGAAGATCCCCTTGTAGTGGGACAGGCCCGACATAACCCTGGACCATATCTCCCTGTGGCATTCCCTGAGCGCCGGATCGATCTGCGAGGGTCCCCCGGGGCCCGAACACGGGCGACAGCGCCCGTGGCGCAAACAAGCAGAGGCAAAGCACAACGCCCAGAACGCAAAGAAATACAGGGCAGTTTTGAATACATGGGATTTTCAAACATATATGATTTTACATAATTAATTTAAGTACGAATGATGCATGGACTCATCGTTGTTTTTCGTACTAAACCCTGCATTTTTCATACATGATCCGCACGCGGAGCATGTATGAAAAACGGCACTGTAGACACAAATAATCAAGTTTCCCATACTTTCCCATATTCTATGGGTGTTCGTCTTCCCCTCAATCCCCGCAGTTTCCAAGCTCTTCCTGGGAGCCGACGATTCGTTGTGTCCGTGCGTTTCTCTCCCTCCCGAGTGTGGGAGGCATGCGCAGGCGCCGCCGGGGGCCTGAAGAGGATGCAGCCCGGGATGATGGCGAGCGAGCCCACGGCGGCCTTGGGCGCGCGGCAGCGGAGAGGCGGGCCAGGCGAGGCCGCACCCAGGGGGGATGGAGCGGTTGGGTGGGGGGCGGCGACCCGTTCCAGCCTTTCAAACAGGGCTTCCTCCTCCTCCTCCTCCTCCTCCTGGTCCTCCTCCTGGTCCGCCTCCTCATCCTCCTGGTCCTCCTCCTCCGAATCGATGGGGCAGGGTTCGGCTTTCGCGACGTGTTGGACGAGTTCCGAATCCTACTCTCGGGGGCGGCCGCGAGGGGGGCGTCCGAGGGGGGGGGCACAAATCATAGCCGGAGGCATGTGCGTGGACCAAGGGGGGGCCAGGGAACGTATTAAAGTGAGAGGAGGCGCCATGCAATTTGGGGAGATATCATGCCCCCCGCCATGATATCCCCCCCCTATAGTCATCACCCCCCACTTTGCCGCCCCGATATTCCCACCGCCCATCCGAGTGGCCTGAATCGTTGATCGGCGAGGGCAGGATTTATCGTTTCGCCGCCGACGGAAAGGCTGTGGCCATTCTTGCAGGGTCTCAAAGGCTTTCCCTAACCCAGTCCGCGGGGTCTCAGCCTCGAGCTTATATCCACATCCCTAGGCTTGGCAAGCCGAACGGCGATGCCAATCTCAGGGGTGCGCCCTCAGAAACGGAGGGAGCTCTGAAGGTACGGCGGGAGCTCTTGAGAGAACGGAGGGGCACAGGGATACGTTCCAGGCTGGCAGTCCACGACTCGGGATGCTTTCCAGCAGCGGCGCCTCGCCCGGGAGCGTTCCCGGGTGTGCCCGAGCTGTGTCCCGAACGGTCGCCTGAGGCCCGAGCTGTGGCCCCCAAAACCGGAAGCCTCCCGCCGTGACCGAAGACTGCTGGCAGTGAGCGGTCTGTCTGCGGGCTGCTGGTGCCCTCGCGGGGCCCCGGGGCCGTCAGAGGCCCCCCGAAAAGGCGGGTCAGACCTCTGGGGCGCCTCGCTACGGAGAACGCGCGAGAACACGCCCACACCTGCATCGAGGATGCGGCGCGGCGATGCGGCGCGATCCTCCGACCCCGTCTATTCGGACCCCAGCTGGGAGGCCTGGAAAATGACCTCCCTCCTCTTCCGTCTTCCCGCTCACCCCGACTCCCGCAGACATCCGCCGCCGTGATTTATTCGCAACGGCTCCCCAGAAGTCTCGACACCTTCTTCGGGACCTGCTGTTCAGCCCGAAACGTGTTCTGACAGTCTGGGGCCCGGGGAGGCCGCAAATGTAACCAGCCTCAAACTGATTCCTACCCTCAAGATTGACAAGCCAAATGACGAGGACAATCCCAGGGATGCGCCTTCGAAAACTGAGGGAATCCTTGAAATCAGCATCGAGATCCCAACCCCCTCCTTCGTGCTACTTGTTTGGTTCGAGACCCGAGGAGGTCCGGGCCCAAGTTTCCCGACCCTCTCCCGGTAGGGCAAGTGCTACACCCTGATTCGCTTCTGGACGGTAATTACGAGAATGGTTCCCAAGGCCGATAGCAGAACAACGATAAGCAAGCGCATTCCACTACTCGCAAAGTCACTACTCGCAGATGTCCTGGATCAGCCGCGGAAGATCTACGATAGATCACATCGGGGCGAACGTGTTTTCGGACGTTTGCGAGTAGGCAATTTGCGAGTAGTGGAACGCGTCCGGCGAAACAACTTCAGGCCACGTTTTCGTGCACAGCTGTGCTCTAAAGCTCGGTCGTTCCTGGTCGCTCGCCCTCGCCCCCTCCCCTCCCCTGGCCCGTGGCACAGGCCCCAGCCCCCTCCCTACCTGTAGGTCGGGCATGTCCTCCTACAGGCGGATTTTGGACGAAGCATGAAAAATACCCAAAACAAATAAACAAAAAATCCCCCCAACAAAAAACATCGTCCCCAGACTATTGTTTACTATGTTTCAATACTTCGAAAGATATGTCCGACATAATCCTACCCGATCGCGAGAGAGCCCGGGAACGCACGCCACGTGTTTTCTTCGAAACTCGCCCCTTTTCCTGGTTTGTTCCGCAGAAGTCTGGACGCCTCCCCGGGATCGTTCTTGAAAATCCCGCGGGTCTATTGTTGACGGTACCGGTGCCCGCAAAAAGCTGCCCCGGAGGCTGACTTTTGGGGGGACCAAGGAGGTATACCGATACCGCTGCTTCCCGGACCTCTCCTGGGGCGCGTTCTGACCAGCATTTGGATGCGAATCCGGCCAAACTGTCCCCGTCGTGGTGCTTTCGCGACGCGAGGGGAGCTGCGCCCTACGCCCAGTGACTGGGGTTGCTAAGGATGCCCCTGGCCCAAGGTGCCCCCAACTTGTCGCTCGATTTAGGAGCCCCTGGGGCCCTCTGCGCCTCCTTAGGGGTTCTCTGGAGGCCGTGGGGGCCTCCTTGGACATCCTGGCTGGGTAGTCGGAGCCAATCTGGCGCCAATCTGGCAGGCCCAATCTGGCAAACGGGGGCAATCTGGCGAGGGAGCCAACGCGAATCCAGTCTGGCGAATAACCCCAATCATCCAGCTTGGCCAGGCCAGATTGGCCCTTGGGGCCCAATCCAATCTGACAGTCTGGCCCTCTGCGCCTCCTGAGGGGTTCTCTGGAGGCCGTGGGGGGAAGGAGGAAGGCGGAGGATGGAAGATGGAGGCGAAGAAGGGAGCGAGGAGGAGGAATGAAGAGGAGGAGGAGGAGGAGGAGGAGGAGGAGGAGGAGGCCTCCTTGGACAGCCTGGGGCACCTTGGCCCATAGGGGTCCAGGGGCACTTCCGCGCCCCGCGGCCACCGCGCCGTCGGCGGCCGGCCCCCCGGCGGCCGGCCCCGGCTCCGCCTTGGCCAGCACGTTGGCCATCAGGTTGCCGAGGAGCTCCCCGTCCACCACGACCCTCGCCTCGAGGCGCGAGAGGCCTTCAAGCCAGCCTCAAGAGGGCCCCAAGACGGCCCGAGAGGTCAAAAAAACTGCCAAGATGGTCTCCAAGATACCTCAAGACTGCCAAGATGACCTCCCAGACGATCAAGATGGCATCCAAGACGGCAGAACCATCCCCAGGAGAGCCGAAGGTGGCCCAAGAGGCGCGAGGGCATCCCCGAGCTCGACGCTCCATGGTTGACACGGTCCGCCGAACACAGATCTCCTAGCGTCGCGAAAGAAGGCACGACAGGACGTGCTTGCTGTGTTCGGTTGCTGGGGACCCTCGCCAGGCCCCAGAACTGTCAAACATCGGCTCGGAGTGAAAACCAGTCCCAGGGAAGGGATCGGAACTTTCGGGGATACACGGTGAGAAAAAACATGACGTCGGGGGTATGGGAAGAGGGGGGCCCAGGAAGAAGGGGCGAGCTCGTCACGGCCTGATGCACGTGCGAGGACGAGAAGGGGTCAGGGAACGCGGATCCAAAGACAAACACGGTGGCGGGATGGGCCGAAGGCCATGGGATCCGCCGCCCCCTGTTGATTCATCACAAGGGTTGCCTGGGGTGCTGATTCCTTTCGCTTTTGGTTTTGGTTCTTTTTCCAAAAGACTTGCCCCCCGAGTTTCGGCCCCGCACGCCGGGGTCCAGGAATGGCCCGGAAAGGTCCCGGAATGGCCCGGGAAGGGTGGTTCCAAAAGATTATCCTGCTCCAGATGGCTTCAAGATGGCTTCGAAGATGGCCAAGATGGCCTCCAGGTTCGCCAAAGATAGTCCAAGATGGCCTCCAAGACGGCCTAGAAGAGTCCAAGATGCCTCCGAGTTCGCACAAGAAACCTCTCAGACGGCCCCAGACGGCCCCACGAGAGCCCGAAGAGGTCAAAATCAATGTTTCCCTTACGTTTTCGAAGGGTTGTGGCGTTTGTTCTTTTGGAGCCTTCCGACGGCTCATGACGGCCCAAGGAGCCCGAAAGATCGCCCCCAGTGCGCCCAAGAGGCCTCCAAGACGGCCCTATGATGGCCCAAGGGGCTCCCAAGACGGCCCCCAGAGGGCGCCAAGACGGCTCCAGAGGCCTTCAAGGCGCCCAAGACGGTCTCCAAGACGGCCAAGATGGCCTCCAAGATGCTTCCAACACAATACAGATGAGCTTCAAGACGGCCTAGATGGCCGCTAAGACGGCCAAGATGACCTAAGATGGGCCCGAGAGGTTCCAAGATTGCCCCAGAGGAATCTAGAGGTGCTCCAGGGAGGCCCGATGAAGCCAACATCTTACATGCTCCTCAAGTGTTTGAAGGATGTGTGATGTTCCTAGGTTTTGGTGTGCCGACCGCCTAAGACGGCCCAAGAAGTCCCCAAACTAGTCCCAGAGGCCTCCCGAATGGATCCAGAACGGCCCGAGAGGCCTTCAAGCCAGCCTCAAGAGGGCCCCAAGACGGCCCAAGAGGTCAAAAAAACGGCCAAGATGGTCTCCAAGATACCTCAAGACTGCCAAGATGACCTCCCAGACGATCAAGATGGCATCCAAGACGGCAGAACCATCCCCAAGAGAGCCGAAGGTGGCCCAAGAGGCGCCCAAGATGCCTCCAAGACAGCCCAAGATGCCTCCAAGACGTCCTCCAGGAAGGCCCGAAGAAGCCAACATCAATGCTTGCCCTTGGGTGTTTGACAGATGTTCGCTTGTGCTTCTTTTCGACCTTCCGACGATCCAAGGCGGCCCAAGGGGACCCCAAGATCGCCCTAAGATCGCCCAAGAGGCCCAAAGATGTCCCCGTGACAGCCAAGACGCTCACAAAACGGCTCCAAAAGTGCCCCAGCCTGGCCCAAGAGGCTTTGAAGACGCCCAGGATGGCCTCCAAGCCGGTCCTGAAGCGCCCCAAGAGGGCCCCAAGTCGGTTCAGAAAGGCTCCCAAGACGGCTTCCGACGGCGTCAGACGGGCCAGGAGCGCCCTGAGACGGCCAAAGAGGCCCCCAAGAAGCCCTCAAGAAGCCGCCAAGAGCTTCCAAGAGGCTCGAGGAAGCCCCCAAGAGGCCTCCAAGAGGCCCGAAGAGTGCCTCAAAAGGCTCCCAAAAACACCTCCTCCTCCTCCTCCTCCTGCTCCTCCTCCCTCTCCTGATCCTCCGCGTCATGCTCCTCCAAGCGTTCCCCGAAAGATACCTACGTTCAACGACCAGCGTGTCAACCCCCTCTTCCTTCTCCTTGTCCTCCTCCTCTTCCTCCTCCTCCTCCTGATACCTGCTCATTATCCCTTGACCTTCCTGCGAGCCCAGATTCATCTCGAGGCTCAGTTTTCTCCAGGGCTACACGCCGGTCGTTGATGGTAGGTATCTTTTATTCCCGGATCCCCATCTACTTCAAGCGCCTTCCTATACTTCCAGCATCGAGATGCTTCTGCTGCGCTGTGTTCCTCTCTGGGAGGGCCTGAGCCCAATCTACTTTATCCGCCTTCGTGCTTCATGTTTTTTGGGGATCTCCTGACCCGGGTCAACCCAGACCCGGGTCAGCCAGGGCTTGCAGAATCCTGCAAGATCCTGCAAGACCCTGCACCCAAACCCGGGTCAACGCGAAGGATCCTGCAAGATCCTGCAGGATCCTGCACCCAAACCCGGGTCAATGGGAGCCTGGCCCTGCAGAATCCTGCAAGATCTGGCGCTCTGGCTGACCCCCGTTTGCATTGACCCCCGTCTCAAAGCTCCCGAATTTTCACCTCGTTCTTCCGACCGGCGTGCACAGGCGCAAAATGTCACATGGGGGTCCCCGCTCGAGCGCGGGACCTCGCATGCTCCGGCCACGGGCGCTCGGACCCGCAGCGCCCCCCCCCCACACACACACAATCGCACGCCTGCTCACACGCTCTTCCGCGCAAGCCTCGTGCGGCTTCACACGCCTGCTCAGAAGCAGCCCTCCAGAGTCTCACGCGCGGGCCCCCGTTCGAGCAGGGTGCCGCCATCCATCTGTGCAGGCGTTGCTCGTGTTCAGCTCTTGGAACTCATCCGCCGCCGTGCCGCAGGCACGAAAACTCCGTGCACCAGACTGCTGAACTCCGTGCGGCGCGTTTCTGCGTTCGGGTGCGTCCTTCGGCGTGCTCTCGTAGGGCATTTGGGAAGGCAGGGAAGCCAAGCATGGGCCACAAGGGCTCCACGAGGCCCCCACGACGGTCCAAGTGGGTCCAATGACGGCCGTAGAAGGCTTCAAGATGACCAAGATGGCCTCGGGGTGGCCCAAAAGGCTCACGGGACGCCCCAGTAGGGCTCCAAGAGGCCCTCTAACAGAGCCTCGAGGGGTGCAAATCTGTGGTTGCCCTCAGGTTTCTGAAAGATGTTACCGAACTCGCCGTCCCAGGCATCCGACACTCAAAGACGGCCCAACAGGCCCCGAAGATGGCCCCAAGACGGCGCAAGGGGGCCTCAAGACGGCCCATGAAGCCACCAAGGCGGGCGACAAAGCCACCCGAAAGGGCCCCAAAGAGAGCCACAAGAGGGGGAACTCGGACTGATAGTTCGCGCCTGCCGCGCTAAGATGACCTCCGAGAACGCCAGCTGACCCCCGAGAGATCCACCAGAAGCTACAGAAGGCAGACAACCGGCCCAAGTTAGGCCCCCAAAGGCCTCCCGACAAGCCCCAATACAATTCCATAACAGCATTCCGAGAGGGCCCCTTGCGGGACCCCCACCAAGTATCCAGGCGGAATCTGACCTACAACCACGGGGCGGTGGCGGATTGGGCCGAAGGCCACTCGATGATTCAGGAAGTGCTGGGGGAACATCTCAGTCTGGAACGCTTGGAAACTTTTACCACGAATGTGCACGGCGCTGGAAACGGTCAACTCTCCGTCCGCGTGACTGCCGAACTTATTGTCAGCGCTCAGGATCCCGAGCTGCGAGGAACACTCGGGGCGGCACTCCAGGCTGGCGCGAGGAAGCGGAGCCTTCTGATTGAGCAAGGACACCGTCCCGGCATTCCTAGTCCTACACGAAATGTTCTTAGAACCCCAAAATGTTCTAATAACAAGGAAAATTCTTAGAACAGAAACCCGATGTGTTCAAACAAGACAGACTCCGGCAGGAATATTAGAAGAACATTTCGTGGAAACCACGAAAGGTTCTTAGAACATGCTTGGTAGGGCTATAGGCGAGCCAGGACGCTTCGCCACTGCTTGAGATTCTCCGTGAGGGGCGGGGTGGAGCCGGCGGGGACCGAAGGCAGAAGCCCGAGGAGGGAGACGGGCATGGTCGGGGACCTGCTGGCCTGGGTCAGTCCAGGCCCGGGTCAAGTCGGGCCATGCAGGCTCCTGTAAAGCCCTGCGGCATCCTGCAGGATGCCGTGCCCAGGTCCGGGTGAGTGCGCCCCTGGCCCTGCAGGATCCTGCAAGATCTGGCGCCCTGGCTGACCCACGTCTGCACGTCTGCACTGGCCCCCGTCTCTTGATCACCGATATGGGTGCGGATCCAGGACTCTGGGGGCGTTCCCAGGGACCAGATCACCATCCCGAATCGATTGTCCAACTACAGTGGAGGCCCGTCCACGAGAAAAACCTTCCACAAGAAACCCAATCCTGGACCCCCCGGACGTCCACTGATTGTTGGCGTGGGAACGTCACGCCTTCCATCGCAAAAGCATCGAAACCAAAGAAACCCAGGGCACCCTGGAGGCAAACAGGGTGTCTCTTGGCATGGGTCTCCGCTGTAACTTTACCAAGCGACTGCACTCGCTATCGCAACCAAGTAAACATGTAGATTATAAAACCTTGCGCACAATTAGTTACGTACCCCCGGCGACGAGAATGCTCCATTAGGCTTAGGTCGGGCATGTCCCCCTATAGGCAGATTTTGGACGAAACATTGAAACTACCATAAGAATGCTTGACAAAAAAAAGAATAAGCAAAAATCATCCCCACACTATGTTTGGATTATTTGGGGATATTCCTCCTGTAGAGGGCCAGGCCCGAGTAGCATGAGGCCCAGGAGAACCAAGCAGAGCCCACCCCCTCTCCCCACTCTCGAAACTCGATGTCTTCTGGCGATCCTCCCTCTTCATCTTTTGGCGGCGAGCGAGGGGGATAGCGAGGTTCGAACTTCGAGGTTCGAGGTTGTCGGGCGCTTTCGTTGGTTCTCGGCGGTTTTCCAGCCTCGGGATGCTTGCCAGCAGCTGCGCCTCGCCGAGGGCGTTCTGGGGTTGCCCGGATCGTCCCGAACGGCCGCCGGAGACCCGAGTTATGACCCAAAAGCCAAATTCGGCGGCGAGCGAGGAGGGAAGTGAGAAGGAGAAGGCCTTCTCAGAAGGCGGCGGGACTTCTCAGAAGCCTTCGCGCCTTCTGGGAAACTTACTTTTGACTTCGGGGATGGCCCAGAAAGGTTCGCAGAAGGCCGGGGGACTTCCGAACCTTCCGCGAAGGCCTTCTCCTTCTCACTTCCCGCCTCGCTCGCCGCCGAATCTTGGCAGGCTCGTAATGGAGACGGAATAGCAAAACATGACGATGTCCAGCAGGAAGAGCTGTCCGACATCGACAGCGGCCGCTGTTGGTCCACAGACGATTGCCCCAACGGGCCACGTCCGCGGCGACACGGTCAACGAGTCCTGTTGAAACTGGAGGGATATGCTGTTAGTATGCGACCCTATTCTTTTCGTCTTGGAGAAAAGAAAAACATGCTTGTGTTAGAAGGCTGCGGCCTTCCCAGATGGGTACCAGAGGCTTCTGAGAAGCCTTCTCAAAGCAAAGGGGGCTTCTAACACTGCCTCCTTGACCCCCCCATCGGTGCTTCTCATAAGGCTACGCCTGTCGTGCCACCCCCTTCCTGGCGACGCCGAGCACCCCTTCTCAGATGATGGGCCCAGAAATTGTTGAGAAGCCTTCTCGAAGCAACGGAAGGCTTCTAAGAAGCCCCCCCCCTGCCTTTTTAGCCCCCCGTCCCGTGCTTCTCAGAAGGCTACCCCTGCCGCGCCACCCCCTTCCGCGCGACGCCGAGCACACCCCAGAGGACTGGACCCCCCCCCCTTACAGGCCCTTCGTCCTGGGCCGTGCTCTTGCTGCCCCGGAGCTCGGCGAGGGCCCCCCAGACTACCGAAGACAGCCAAAACCCCGCGGCGTGATTTTCTTCGCGATAAGGTTGGCTCAGACCCGCGCCTCGCTGCCCTTCTTGGCCGCCATCCCGGGGGCTCCGCCGCCCCGCCGGGAGGGGGGGGGAGGCGCGCACGCGCTCGCTGCGCGGCCGCCTGGGCCCGCTGCGGGCTCCGGGGGCGGAGGCCTCTGCGGCAACGGAGGGCCGCCCGTGCCATCTGGCTGGCCCGTCGGGGATCTCCTCCTCCTCCTGCTCCTCCTCCTGCTCCTCCTCCTCCTCCTCTTCTGCCCCCTCTTCTTCCTCCTCCTCCTCCTCCTCCTCCTTCTCTGCTTCCTCCTCCTCCTCCTGCTCCTCCTGCTCCTCCTCCTCCTCTTGTTTTTCTTCCTCCTCCCCCTCCTCCCCCTCCTCCCTTTCTTCTCCTCCTCCTCCTTCGGCCCGGGTCAAACCAAACCTCGGTGAGTCAGGCCTTGCGAGATCCTGCAACCTCCTAAAGGATCCTGCAGGATCCTGCGCCATAGCCCAGGTCAGTGCGTCCCTGGCTCTGTAGGATCCTTTCGGATCCAGCGCTCTGGCTGACCCCCTGTCTCTTGAGATCCGAACTCTTGCGAATCGACGTTGACCTGCGCTAGTTCGAAGCTAATGGGCGCTGAATCGACGCTTCCTGTCATCGACTATAACACACTGGCGATCGCTAGTGCTCTCTGGAGACGAAGTTTCAAGGACATACAAGCGATAAATCTCTGGCGGGCCAGTTCTTGGGGGAAAGTGCTGAAAACGCAAACGCCCAAAAACTGCTCATCAGACACAGCGCGCCAAAGAGCACTCAAACACACGCTACTGGCGAAGCGAGCCGTTCCAGAAGAAGGGCCCGTGAGGCCAGGGGCCCAGGAACCAGACCCATTCCACACACACGCACATTCACATACACACACACACACACCCTAGACACACCCTGGACACACCTCGGACACACCGTGGACACACCCCCAAACACACCCAGCCACATGCCGTGCACACGCCAGCAGCACGCCAGACACGCGCCAGACACACTCAGACACACACGCCAGTCACACGCCAGACGCACCCAGGCACAATCCATACACACGCCATACACATGCCGAGCACGCGCCAGACACACGTCAGACACAAGCCAGACACACGTCAGACAAACGCCATACAGAGATCAGACAGGCGCCAGACACGCATCATACACACGCCAGACACACGCCAATAACACGCCAGAGACACGCCAGACACATCCAAACACACGCAAGGCACACGCCAGACACACGCCAGACACACACTGGCCCTGGAAACACGCTGGATATACGCTTGACGCCACACACTCTCACACACACACACACATCCCAAGAAACGACAGACATCGGACATACACACCCAAGGTACCGCCAGAAACACGCCAAGCACACTCAGACACACGCCAGACACACCCAGGCACATGCCAGAAACAACTCAGAGACACCCAGACGAACCCAAGACACACACCAAACACACCCACATACACCCCAGACACACGCCAAGCACACGCCATACAAACGCCAGACGCACCTAGACAACCACCGCGCACATCCAGACACACGCCAAAAACACCTAGACACACGCCAGACACACGTCAGACACACACACACACACAGAGGACACCCAGACACATCCCGACACACCCGGGCATGACGACGACGAGGACTCCGACGACTCCGACGACGACGACGAATCTGACGACGAGGACCAATTCGCCGACGATGACGTTCCAACCACGCTTATCTGCCTCACCCCTGGTGCACTCTACGACCGAAATCCGCCGATCCGGCGTGTGAGCTTAAGGGAGGGGGTGAGCGGGGTGGTTCTGCCAGGGTAGGGGGAGGGGAGTGGGGGGGGTCTGGTGGCGCGGGTGCCTGTGGCGTGGGGGGGGGTCCGGTTCCCCGTCCCGCCTGTGAGCAACGGGAATTGGGGGAAAAGGGGGGGGGTCCAGTGGCTAGGGTGGCTCTGCTGGGGTATAGCATGGGGCGTGGGGAAAGGGTCCGGCGGCGCGGGTTCCCGTGACGTGGGGGCGGGGTCCTGTCCCCCGTCCCGCCTGCGGACAAGGGGAATTGGGGAAAGAGGGGGGGAGGGGTCCAGTGGCGTGGGTTCCGATGGCGCGGGGGAGGGGAAGGGGGGGCTCCGCGGCGTGTGATGTTGAAGGAGCCTCGGCTAGAGCCTCGAGGCTGATGTTCAGCCGGTGAGGGGGTTGCCGGGGTGGCTCTGCCAGGGAACAGGGGGGGGGGGGCGCGCGTGCGCGGGGTAATGTTTGTCCGTGTGCGCGAGAAAGGAATCGGGGAAAGAGGGAGATAGAAGTGGAACGGGACAAGAGCGGAAAACGGGAAACATTTGGGGGGGAAGACGAAGGTGGCGGTGAAATGCGTGTCTGTTGTGTGAAGTGTGCGTCGTCCCGTTCGGCACCGCCTGATCCCCGGGCTTTGCCCGCTTAGGCCCCGCCTGCTCCCGCCCCTTCTCTGTCAATTAAAGCTGTGCGCGTCCCGGGGAGCTTTTAGCGGAAGAGGCTCGCACTCGCCCTGCAGATCAAAAAAAGTGTGGTGTGTGCGTGTGTGTGCTTGTGCGGTGTGCGTGGAGTGTGTGTGTGTGTGTGTATGTGCGTGTGTGTTGCCGGCGTGTGCGTGTGTGTGTGTGTGTGCGCCTGCGAAGGTGGCGCGCGTGTGTGCATGTGGTGTGTGTGTGTGTGTGTCTGTGTGTGGGTGCGTGTGTGTGCGTGTGTGTGTGTGTGTGTCTGTGTAAGCGTGTGTGCGTAATGTCTACGAGCGCGCGCGTGCGTCTGTCCGCAAAGTGCCGCCGCCCAGCCTGGAGGGCACCCCAAGCGACCCGACCTGGATCGGCGGCACTGGCCGAAGGCCACTACAATATCGGAGGTGTAATGCCGCGAAAAATGCTAAAATGTTGCATTGGCTACCGTTAGTTACCGCTACGCGAGACTGCCGTCTACGCGCGCACAAAACTGATTGGGCAGGATTGAAGAACCCGTGGTGGGCAGGATTGAAGAACGCAAACATGTTTCGATGACCGCGCGCAAGAGACATACCAGACATCTCTACACAGACCCATGGACACCCCAGACACACCCCAGACACAACATTGCAAACACAGGCCAGACACGGTCCGAACACACCCACACCCCGGACACAGCCAAGACACACAAGAAACACCCCAGACACACACACACACACACAAACGCACCGCAAACAAGCCCCAAACGCACACCCCGACACACGCAGACAAACAGTGACACTCGCCAGACTCCCGCCAAACACGCCAATGCACACCCCAACATGACGACGATGGCGACGAGGACGGCGACGACTCCGTGAACTCTGACGACACCGGCGCCGACTCCGACGCCGTCGCCGACTTCAAAAGCGGCCCGGAAGGCGTTAAAGCAAATTTCTGCGTCCACTCTCACCCTTTCCTTCCACCCTCATGTTTCCCTCGTCTTCCTTCCGCCTTGTCCTGATTATGTCTTCTCGCTCTTCCATTCCCTCTGTCCTACCGCATCTGCCGCTATCCTTCCCAACTCATTCGCAATTCGTCCCTCGTCCATCCTCAAATCCCCATCCCAACCCCGAAAGCATATTTTTTCATCATCCGCTCACCAGTCCCCTTACCTCCCTGAACCTCACTTCCTACCACCCTCCCGCCACCCCATGGATCCCCGACCTCACAAAAATGGAGGCTATAGGAGGAGGCTCATATGGGGTCTTACCTCGGGGGCCCAAACTGCCCCACAAACGATTAATCACATACTTTGGGTAAGCGGGTTAAGAGAATAGTCGGAGTGACAAATATCAGCAAGCCAATGAGTGCGGCCCATGATGATCCGCTGGGCTGTGATCGCATGAGGCTGCGCATCCAGGGGGCGGTCGACCCGAGGGACCAGGACGCCCTTGAGCAGCGCGCCGCACCTGCACTGCGCCCCCAGGGACCCCATCCAGGGCCCAAAGTGGCCTCGCCAGAGCACCGAGCCCTGCAAGGCAACCAGGAGCGACAATGGCCATGGACGAGGAGGCCCGGGGCGGGGCGGGGGAAAGCGTGGCGGAGGTGGGAGGGGAGGGCGAACGGGCTGGCGAACGAACGACGAGGGAGGCAGGCGGGGGACCAAGGAGGATGACGACCGACACCGAGGGGAGAGGGGGAGGGGATACGTGCCCCTCCGACCTCGTGTCCTAGAGCTGCCCCTTCCTCTTGTTGCCCCCCTCCACCGCTCCCCCCACCAGCTGGGTCCCATCGCGACTGGACGCAGGCGGCGCCCTGCCGAGGCCCACTCCCTCGGTCACCCAGAGGCCTGATAGGGGCACTGAGGCAGCTCCCTGGCCTCCTCGTCGGGCTTCGGGGTTCCCCTCCCCCTCCTCCTCGCTCTCCTCCTCCCTCTCCTTCAACTCCTACGCCTCCTCCTGCTCCTCCTCCTCCTCCTCCTCCTCCTCCTCCTGCTCCTCCTCCTCCTCCTCCTCCGCCTCTCCTCCTCCTCCTGCTCCTCCTCCTCCTCCTCCTCCTCCTCATTCTCCTCCTCCTCCTCCTCCCTCCCCCTCCTCCCCCTCCTCTTCCTTCTGCCCCTCCTCCCTCCCCCTCCTCCTCAGGGCGAGGGCCCCCCCCAAGCGCATCCATGTTGCACGGGGAGGGGCGCCCCCCCACCCAGGCAACCCCGGGCAGGGCAGCGCGTGGACTCTGCAGCCTCCGCTACGATGTACAGGGCAGTTTTAATAAATAGGCTTCTTTTTTTATATCGGAGGTTTAAAACATGATTAATGTATGAATAAATTGATGCGAGAACTCATCGTTGGTTTTAATACTAAACCCCTGCATGTTTGATACATGATCCGCACGCGGAGCATCTATTAAAAACGGCACTGTATACCCCCTCGAGGCAAGCGAAGCCCACAGATCAGACGGCAATCTGTGCAGACCACACAGCGCACAGTTCTGCAGATCGGACAGCAACCGGCCGGTTCAATCCAAGAGACCCCCCAAGGACGAGAAGGTATGCAGAAGAGCGGAATATGTAGAATCCACGCGCCCATGCGCCCCCCGGGCTCCCTGGGGCACGCAGGCGGCGCAATTTGTAGACTCGGGGCGGCCCTGAGGCGCCTGCCAGCAGGCAGTGTCATTCTACAGCTCAGACAGCAATCTGTAGAAGCTACACATTACCAACCTCGAACGTGTCCCTATCCCTAAGATTGACACGCCAAAAGGCGATGACAATCTTAGGGATTCGCCTTCAGAAATTAAGGGAATCCCTAAGATTGGCATCGTGATGAGGAGGTGCCCAGCATAGGGATAGGGATATCTTCCAGGCTGGTCCAGACACACACACACACCGGCACCAGGAGGGTGATCATCGTTCCCGCACAACCCCTGCCCGACCTGCTCCAATACCTCCTGGCCATCCGAGCGCGCCTTGCGCGACAGCGCGAATCAAGGTAAAGACGCGCCGCCCCGAAAAGCAGTGGGACAAATCCAAAAAAAAAGAAATGATCGGGTTGGCCCGGCGGCCACCGCGGGCCAGGAGAAGGCCAAATGTGGCAGTCGATCCCCAAGCTCCAAGGTCTATTATGCATTGCATCGCCTGCGCGTCGCGGAATAAACCTGGACAAACTGGCGCTTCCCACGTGCAAGTATTCTCTGCGCATTCCTCCAGGGTGTGCATCGTGTCGATTGGCATGTTAACACGCGCACGAGACCAACGCAGCGTCGCCCGAAACGCAGCGACTCAGAACACGCCTCTGAGAATACAACAAACATGACTATGTATGCCAAAGTCCGCCTTCAAACAGGCGGCACGTGTACTGATCTTCCCCCGCGAGACACCCCTGGCGGTCTTGGCACACACACACACACACACACACACACGCACGCACACCTCACCCGCTTCGTGGCCCCATAGGGAGCTCCACCAAAGGCCCCAGTGGCGGTGTTCGCGCGCGTCCGCGCCACTCATTCCTGCACACCCCTCACACGTTGCGTGGCCCCATACGGAGCTCTAGCCCAAAGCCCGGGTGGCGGCGTTCGCACGCGTCCCCGCCACCAATTCCAGCACACCCCTCACGCGCTCCGTGGTGGCCCCAGAGGGAGCTCCACCGAAAAGGATGCCCACGACTGCGTTGCCCACAACGGCACAGCTCGGAGGGAGCCAGCCAGACCGTCTTGGAGACCAGTCTGGGCGTCTCGGAGGCCTCTTGGGCCGTTTTCGGGCCCTCTTGGGCCCGTCTTGGGGGCCTCTCGGCCCGTTCTGGGGCCATCCTGGAGCCCCCTTTGGCGATCTTGGGGCGATCTTCGGGAGCCCCTGGGCCGTCTCGGGCCGTTGGTAGGCCGAAAAGGAGCAAATGTCAAAATCCTCCATGTCAAAATCCTTCAAAAACGAAAGGAAAATCACTTTTTTTTGGCCTGGGGCCTTCCTGGAGGCCCTCTTAGAAGACCTCTTGGGTCGTCTTGGGCCATCTTAGGGCCAGCTTGGGCCGTCTTGTGGGCTTCTGGCCCGTCTGACGCTGTCGAAAGCTGTTTGGGGGGCCTCTCTGGGGCGACTTGGGGCCCTCTTGGAATGCTCCAAGGCCTTCTTGGAAGCTTTCTTGGGCGTCTTAGGGGCCCCGTGGGCCGTCTTTGGGCCCTGTTGGGGCCGTCTTGAGGGCCTCTTGGGCCGTTCTGGGGCCATCGTGGAGGCCTCTTGGGCGGCCTGGGGGCGATCTGTGGGGGCTATTGGGCTGTCGCGGGCCGAAAGGAAGCGCCAGCATTGTTCAAAAACCTACGGGAAAATCCATGATTTTGGCGTCACTGGGTCTTCCTGGCGGCCATCGAGGCCTCTTGGCCGTCTTGGGCCATCTAAGAGCCAGCTTGGGCCGTCTTGGTGGGCTCTTGGCCCGTCTGACGCCGTCGGAAAACGTTTTGGGGGCCTATCTGGGCCGACTTGGGGCCCTCTCGGGGTGCTCCAGGGCCGTCTTTAAAGCTTCCCTGGGCGTATCAGAAGCCTCTTGGGCCGTCTTTGGGTCCTCTTGGGGCCGTCTTGGGGACCTCTTGGGCTGTTCTGCGGCCATCTTGGAGGCCTCTTGGGCGGTGTGGGGGCGATCTTAGGGGCCTCTTGGGCCGTCTTGGGCCGTCGGAAGGCCGACAAGGAGCAAATGCCACATCCTTCACAAACCAAGGGAAACTAAATGAGTTTAGCCTCTCCGGGCCCTCCTGAAGAGCCTCTTGGACGCATGCGGAGCTGTCTTCGAGGCCTCTCGGGGGCCTCTGGGGCCGTCTTCGACCGTCTTGGAGGCTTCCTGGCTGAACTTGGAGGCATATTGGACTCTCTTTGGCATTCTTGGAGGTCATCTTGGACCATCTTGAGCGAACTTCAGGGCCATCTTTGGCATTATTGGAGGTCATCTTGGCACATCTGGAGCCGTCTGCAGCAGAAAACCTGTGCAACCACCACTGACCTGACCCCCCTTCCTGGCGCGCGGAGCGCGCCAGGGGCGGCGCCGGAGGCTCCGCCAGGGGAGCCCAGCGCGGACCCAAGCAATCAGCGCGAAGCGCCAAAAGTTTATGCTTGTGCCGTGCTTTCTTCTTCGAAGGCCCTCTCAGAAGGCTCAGAAGCTTGAAAGCAACAGAAGAGAACACAAACGAAAAACCGAAACAACATAAACAAACAATTTGAAACACATGTAACACAACTTCTTCTTAGGTTTCTTCAGTGCAGGGTATTGTGAGCCTTCCCCGAAGACGCAGGACTCCTCTACGACGATGGGCCTGTTTTCTGCCACCACCACCACAAGCTGGAGGGGGGAAGGATGTGATGGATGAGGAGGAAGAAGACGCGAAGGCGAAGGAGGAGGAGGCGAAGGAGGAGGAGGAGGAGGAGGAGGAGGACCCCCGCCCCCTCCTACTTCTGGTGGCGGCGGTGGAAAACGAGGCCACCATCCGAGGGGCCCAGCCTGGCCAGGCTGGCACGCACGCCCACCCCCGCCGTGGCCGAGGGCTGCCCAACCCCCGCCCGGATCGCCGCGTGCAGCGTGGCGCGCGGCGCCCCCCGACGTGAAGGGGGTCAGGGCGACAACGAGGAGGAGGAGGAGAGGACGACGAGGACGAGGACGAGGACGAGGACGAGGGCGAAGAGGAGGGCGACAACGAGGAGGAGGAGGAGGAGGAGGAGGAGGAGGAGAAGGAGGACGACGACGACGGCGAGGACGAGGACGAGAGCGAAGAGGGGGGCGACAACGAGGAGGAGGAGGAGGAGGAGGAGGAGGAGGAGGGGGAGGGGAGGAGGCCAGCTCCACCTTCGCAAGCTTTTGGCAGGTATCTTCTCCTCCACCTGCGCGATGGCCGACGATCCCCGTCAGAAGCCAGTGCAAAGCGTTTGGGCGTGCACGCGCCGTGCATGATGCTGAGCACCGCGCCGTCTGGAACTGCTTCTTGGCAGGAGTGGTCGGGGCGTCTGCGCACTAATCCACACTGTTCCACGTGTGCTCTCACGTGAACAGGCGCACCTGGTGCACGTGGAGCACATGCCGCACCTTGCGAACGTGGTGCATACGGCGCACCAAGCACGCTTGAGCACCTGACGCACCAGGTCCGCGTGGCGCATCTGCTGTGAATTGGTGCCCAAATGGCTGTCCATCGGGGGCGGCCACTGCCTATGTTGAGACTCAGATGCTACTTCGTGTAGTCGGAGCGAGGGCGGGTGGAGGTGATCGAGATAGCGTGCAGGGATCTGCTTAAAGTGTTTTTCGATTTCGTTGTTTCGTTCTCTCTCGTTTTGTCTTCAATCCCTCATTGCTGCAACGCGACATCGAAACGACAACGGCCCACGAGATCGCCAAAACAACGTTTCGGTCGACCCCATGATAGCCTGTGACGTTAGCGTTGGGAATTTGGCCACGTCCCAACCCCCTCCCTGGGGCCCCCAAGGTCTTGAGCCCATTTTCGCGAATTGCTGGGGCGCGCTCCATCGCTAACGAGACAGTTCAAGCTGGCCTCCTACCTACCGAGCCTCAA